AGCGAATTAAAACCAAATTTACCCGAGCAATCTGATATGTCGCTCAAAAGGGTAAGCGCAATTAGGAGATGTATTCAATGAAAAGTAAGCATTTTGGTATTTCTAATTGACTTTCTACAAACACTAAATTCTTCAAACGATAAACTTTCATTGAATTGAAGATTTGCATTTCTATATAACTTTTATGTTTCTAGACAGCGCTGCAGATGCAACTCACCCGTACCGCCGCCGAGAGCACAAGGGTTTTGGGACAGCCTACGCCCCCGGTGCTCTCCGGAACCTCACCCTTGGTCAACCCCCTTACTCCGCAAATGAACGCGGCAGCTGCACTTCCAAGTCCGACGCCTCTTCCTGTGGCTCCTTCTCCAAATCCACTACTTCAGTCGTACCAGCAGGTAAGCTTTTGAAACATCTCCTTTTCTGTCAGTTCAAGGGCATTTTGCTTCAGATACTGAACCCAGCATTCTTGGAGCTACAGCGTCAACTGATCGCCCAACAGACGGCGCAGTTTCGGTTGCCACTTCTGCCGACGCAAATGACATCGTCGATGTCGTTACCGTCGCTGCGGCAGATTCCGCCAACACTGCCACACGTCTCTCCAATTCCAACTTCTCCAGCTTCACTGCCTGCGAGGCCAGTGCCCCGAAAACCAGCACCTGTGGTAGTAACACCGAACATCTCACCTACCACACCTACCACCTCCACTCCACGATCGGATGGTTCATTCGCGGTACCACAAGATCCTGTGATGAGAAAACCTTCCATTCCACTAAAGTAAGCACTTCGTCAAATGCGAAAGTCCTGCTTATCGTCAAATTTAGTCGCCCCAGTACATCCGCCGACGAGAGGGACAAAGCTAACCGTCCAAAATCACCGGAATTTGAGATGGGGAAACTTCCCGTCAAGAATTACGTGCCATCACATTTTATGAAGGGGACGATGATACAAATGGCCAGTGGGAAGTTGAAAAAAGTGAGAGTCAAATAGATATAAAAACAATTGATTATCGTGGTGTCAAGGTGGCCATTTTTATAGGTGGAAGAGATGTCATCGGACGATTTTCTTCTCGCTGCTCCATTGACTCGCGAATTCAACGTGGATGCAAGTGTTGTCGAAGGAATTGCTAGAGGTTCTACGCTTGCGCGGGTCAAATTCGCTGTCGGGCAGACTCGATATGAGGTGATTGCGTAAGATGAAAATAAAATTGTGAAATTGAACTGATATAAGGAATTCGCAATTAAATAATTGCAAAAGATTACAGCCTACATGTTTCAGGCAATTCTTGAGCCACAGCTGGAGCATCCATTCTTTGTTCTTGGCAAAGGCTGGTGCTCCTGTGATCCACATCGCACTGCCGAAACGTACGGACTCGAATGTCAAGAGCTTAAGGTACTTTACGTAAAATACAGATTTTTGCATATAGATACGAAAAGTATGCAAGTGGGACATCTGAACCGGTTATCTAAAGCCTTAGTACTGGGTACTGGGTGATTGATGTGAGCAAGGCTAAGAGATTGGCCGTTCCTAAGTGATAGTTTATGTCTTAGGTTGGAGACGTGTGCATTTCGCTGTCGAGGAAGAGCGATAGCGATGCAAAGCAGCTCGATGAAACCGTCACTCTAACCGAAGCTGCAGAGGTGAAAGAGAAGGAAGCTGCACAAGCTGCGATCAGAGAGGAGCTGAGCAAGGAAATGGTCAGTCCCATTGTGCAGGTTTCACAGAAAGTAGAAAATATTTCTCCTAGGATGAATCGAATGGCCGCAATTCGGCTCCGCCTACTCGTTACCATCCCTACTCGAAGAAGCTGAGGAAGGTGTCGGAGAGCTGAAATGAAGCCCTGGTGGCGGCGGTGATCCCTTTGTGCAGTATTCATCCCAGTTGTTTCGTTCGTTCTTCGTTCATTTTCGTTCGCTTAACTCTTTTTGCCTTTTGTATGTGTTTCTATATGCTAACCGGATTCGTGTCTTTGTAGTGATTCGCTAGTGATTCGATATAACTGATTGTTGAGATTCTTCTAGGAACTGAGTTCTTCATTCATTCGTTCTTCATTCATTTATATATGTATGC